GTGTCAATAGAAACATAGAACGTAGACAGTCTGCTTTACTTTCGAATGGCCGTAACAATGTCTAGTCGAGTGACTATAAACTGAATTTGAGAAAACTGTCAGTTGATAATATTCTAATAAAACATTAAAGTTAGGTTAAATTGTGTTAAACAACAAGACATTTTCAGAGTCTGACTTTTAAGAACTTGTATGAAGTTTTTGAACAATTAAAACGGAGATGGAACAAGTGCATTGTTACAAATGGAAAATCAGTAAAAGAGAATAAAATTTATATACCCTAAATTTTGCTAAATAAAGCTTTTTTTACTATGGGTTTAGCTATTTTACTAAACAAATCATGTATTTGAAGAGTAAACAACCAGAATAGTTACACCAAATAAGATTTCATACATATTGACTTATTTTAAAATTTTCATAAAAGCACTTTTGATTAGATCTGTAAGAAACGAATAGGTCTCACTTCATACATAGATACATACCTAGATTTAATCGATTTTTCTTCTACGGAATCATTCTATATATAATGAAATAATTACAATAGTACTAAATGCCTTTTCTATTGTTTCGTTAACTTCTATTTGGCACAGATTCAAAAATGAATACACAATGTAGTAGGAAGAAAAGGATGGATGACTGGAGGGGGGAAGAGAGAGATAGAGGTGGAGAGGGAAACATAACCAACGATGAATAAAACTTAAAAATGCTAAGTGACTGTTATTTTATTTTACTAGTTTTTCTTTTTGGTTTCACGTAGGTATGCGTATTGGGAAGAGAGAAAGAGGGAGCGCTAAAAAATAATGAAACTTTTGAAGAAAGACAAACAAGCGAATCAATACAGAAATGTCTACATATATATGTATATATAATTCAGCTTAACATTTTTCAGGGGCATTGCAAGTAAGTTTTATTACAATTTAATGTCAAATAATTAGCAATTAATTGATCTAGCTCAGAGACTTGGCAGAATAAGGTATCGATTTAATTTTAAACATTTTTTAACAGTATAGTAGAGAAGATCAACAAAAACCCAGAATGATATCAAAATTAATCAAAAATACACATGTAAACAAACAATTTTGTTCCATCTAACTAATAAGCCAAGTAGGAATGCTTTGTACTCAGTCCTCAATTACACTAATTGCATGATAGCTAATGACTCAAGTATCAATCCGCTTAAATCAAAGTATGTGAAGTACAATATTATAATACTCATTATTGGTTGAAAAATAATTGCTTTACCAGTTAAGTCACCGTTGACCCTAATATGGATTGATTGATTGTTATCAGAAGAAATAAACACCTATTCACTCAGGTTGATTTTGAGTTACACCAGATAGGATTCTCAATAAAACGACTTATAAGAAATTTAGAATAGTCTATATCGACCTAAGCAAGAGATAAGCTATGGCAGTCAACACAGACTTTCAGTAACTGTATGAACTAGTGATATAACCTGACCTAGCTATAATCTGAAACTTCTTCCAAACATTTTTCCCTATTCTAGTTAACACAAAATGTACGGAAATTTGTAGGTATCATATGATATTTGTAGCAAACACAACAGATATCTCGATGGTGTTACGTTTTGTGAACACTGTGATTTAATTTCTAAGTTTTAATTACGTTCTCGATAGTATCTACTTTATATGAAAGCAATCTTGACAAAATTTGTTCCACAAGTATCAAATTAATCTATTTTCAGACAGGATCATTAAAACAATTTGATTTATTACTTATGAAATATAATCTTTAAAAAATCTTTTATCTAAAGTGTATGTTGATGATACTGTAACCAAAATGGTAATGACGGTTAGTGACTGATCTATCCAGTTCAGAGAACCCAACAAACTAACAAACGGAACCATAGTTTACATCATAAAATAACTTAAGTTAGACAGCTATTGAAAACTAGGAAGCACTGGACTATTTCGTCCTAGGATGAGATTCTTCTGAAGTGCGCATCAACGATCGAACTCCGAATCTTCAGGTCTTTAGATGAGAGACTAACCTCTAAAATACTGAATAGGGACAATCTCCACAAATCCTTTACACCAACAACCGAGGGTTACAAATATTTTGCTTTATTTCACATTACAAATAAACTGAATTAAAGAAAAAAATCATAAACTGTAAGCTTTCAAAATGCATATGCCATATTATTCATTCAAAAAATGTTTTTCATGTACCTAAAACGGAACAAAACCCTTAGGTTCAGGTTAACTTACTCATGTATATTCGATTACAGTTAGTTGAAAAGTATCGATTATGTAAACTATGAAGGATCGAAAACAGTCAAATTCATTTGCTATTACAATTCCAAATTGTTTGAAAATATAAAATTACATTTGTCATTCAGTTAAATTGTGATTTCGAAATGAAACAGATTTGAATATTAATTCATTAAATCATCTACCGGATACACAATCATATACTTGGCTTAGAGCTACACTAAATGGGAGGATTATTTATACTATCCAGTTACCGAAACCGAAATAGTTGAAGCAGTATTCACACTTGTGATAAAGTGGCTAACAGTCTAGTGAATTAACTAATGGGTCGTCGAATTTGGACTAATCACTACACTTACACAATGACTCACAAATTTTAATGTCAATTTTACTCTATCTACCTTCCTTGTAATTTTTGTCAATAATTTAATAAAAATTATGATGGACAATAAGTTAATCTTTCCTAAAACTTAGTTATCGGAATAGTTTAAATATAAAACTCAATAGATTGTAATCATTTTAATAGAATATATCGAAAAATAATTTTGAATAGAATTAATGTAGATAAAATTTTAATAATGACTATAATTCTAAACATGAAGTTACTGAAAGTCACAATAAATTTATCTTTCAATTATAATATTTACTAAGATGCATTAATAGAGATTTATAATTTACTAATCGTAACTGGATAAACAAATTTCTGGTAATCTGAATTACAGATATTGTAGTGTGGGTTACTTATATCCACATAAGTAGTATATAACGATGGTCAGATATAGAATGTATTTCAGTAGAAGATCGATAAGGAAAGAACGGAAACGGAACGCAATTGGTATGAAAATGCATGAACAATGAAATCTGAGACGATGGACTGATATTTGCAAAAGGAACAGTCAAGTTTGAAACGATGGATTGATATTTTGCAAATTAACTATTCACTATATTTCAATGGTTAAGATCATGAGTCAGTTGAAGCTAACCACCAATGAAAACCTGGAAGCATTGGACGGCCGTTTCGTCACACTGTGGGAATCCTCAGCAGTGCGCATCCACGACCTCGCCCCCTGCGAAATTCGAACCCAGGACGCACTGGTTTCGCGCGCGAACACTTAACCACTAGACCACTGAGCCGATATCCAACGGGGCTAATGTCTAACTTCAACTAATCCACGAAATTGAGCGACACATATATACTATATGTTTACTTGGTATTGTTTGGTTTGTATCTTCCCATTGAGGTTTAAGACTGCAATTGATCAGTCTGTTATTGGCATATGTGCATACTGTGCGTATGCCTCGATATTGCCTTGATTCACAATCTTTTTGTAAGCGATGATGGATAGTGGCTAGCAGTGGGACCCAGGACGCGCGTTTCATCCTATTTGGGACCCGTCAGCTGGATGTACCTGGATCTAAGAGTTGATGTTCACTCTGGGACTCGAACCCAGTAACACTAGCTTCAAACGACATAGCGTTATCCACCCAGCTATTGAGCTATAGCAAATTCCAGAATAGTAGGGATAGTAACAGTATTAGTGTTCATATAAAAGATTAGGCATCAAATATAAGATTCAAACAAATACAAATTTTTGAAATAAAAAATATGAGGAATTCAGATGTTTAGAATCTGAGAGAAGACAATTAATGAATGCATCTGCTCCATTACAAACGATGTAGAGCCATTTCATTTTAAGTATTGAACAACTGGTTTCAACAATCACAGAGATATCAACCAGATAGTTTACACATGTTAACATAGCTCAGTCCAATGGTCAATGACTTCATGGACTAGTTCAATGTTTGTTTTGGCCGCCCCTAACTATCTTCTAGCCTGCTACCATACTGAATAACTAGATTCTGGGACTTAACAGGTTTTAATACGAACTAGCTGCTTAATTATCCTTTATTAAATATAACATACAAACTGTAAAGATGAATTATATGTGAACTTATTTTGTAGTTGTAAAAGAACATTGATCATCATATTGCCTGTTGAATGAATACATAGCTTAACTATCGTTTTCCTACCAACAAAGTATAAAAATACTTCTGCTAAATGTAAATCAACAAAACAGATGTTATACTTCACACCATTTGTAGCGTGTAATATTTGATTGTTTCTCTTTAATAAACATCTATTTCAAATGAATAAACTTAAGTGGATAATAACTCATGATACAATAAAGTAGCTATCGTGTGTAAACAGAATTCTTTTTGTTATATACAACTACATTTTTAAGATGAGACTGATAAATTGCAGTACTAAATAACAATGGGAAGATACAAGTTAGCAACACCAAGTGAATATAACTTCACCCCATTGCGCAAGCAGGTGGCTATCAGGACTTAGTAGCTAAGTGGATAACGTGATGTCATTGAAGCGGACTGCGCTGTATTTGAGTCCCGGAGTGAACATCAACTCTTAGATGCAGGTAAATCCAGCTGACGAGTCCCAAATAGGACGAAACGCGCATCCTGGATTCCACTGCTAGCCACTATCCATCACTGCTTCCAAAATATTTACTATATGGTTCTCAGATTTTAGTGAGAAACTCTGTAATTTCGTGTCAAATACATTCGATTGTCCCCACTCGTGTTCATCTTCACCACAGTATTAAAAACCATTTTAAAAAAGCTTATTTTCGAAAAAATGTACGCTTTTCATGGGTAGAAAAGTCAACAAAGTGTCCAATGATGAGCCTATCTAGTAGCCAGGATAGTGGAGAGTTTATTACCATACACGTGATAAGAATAAAAGTATTAACTTACCAATCAATGGGACTGAAACAGGTGTCCCATCTTCATTGGAAGTAGTCGAACAAACAAAAGACAATCCCTTATCCAATATAGGTGTTACCTCTTTTATCTTATCACAAGATAACTCATCCGACGAAGTATATTCGTTTATCTGAATAGTTTCGAAAGGTAAAGTCGAAGGATTGAAGTCTATTTTAGTCATTTCAATTTGATTTGATTCCAAAAAACTCTTTGAATGTGACAGTGATACAGTTCTATTTTTAGATAAGCTTTGTTTCGGGGAAATTTTATCCTAAAAGAATTTGACAGAAAATATGATTTAACAGTCTGATATTTGAAAAAGCTTAAAAATTAGACAAAAGAAGATTATCAACGGTAAGGTACTTGAGAATTCTCAAAATGGAATGATTCTTTCATCGTTATCTAAATAACCATACTACTGAGCATACACATGAGTAGTAACCAAACAATAGAAATATAACAAAGATTGTCCAAAACAAGAATCACTGAACAAAGAATCGTAACACTGGACCGAATGCATAAATTTGTACATAACTAGTTAGTTACATTAACATTTGACTGGTTACAAAAATGTAAGTCTGTCTGATAAATTTAGAAGTGAAGAATGCATCATAAAACTTATCCAAGTGATTGTGATAGATAATAAACAGGATGACAATATGACTATATAATTATCACTCTTAGTACTTTGCTGTAGTCAGTAAACAAAAACGATTCACTTAATAATTGCTGAAAATCTACGAAAATGTAAGCTACCTCTATGGTTCGTTATTATTGTTGGTCTGAACGTAACTTCATTTTAATTAAGATCAACTCTGCGAACAAGTCATTTTAAGAAGTTGTCTGAAGAGTCCACGAAATGAAAGTGAGGAGTGAACTATATTAACATCTGGATTACCAATAGTACAGGTTTCAGTTACCCTACTGTTGATATCTTGTATTAAATTTAGTTCAGTCTGTGTCTGCATACGTGTATTTTGACGGAATTGTCTTGAAGTAGTCATTTTTCACAAACTACTTAGAATATATGTATTGTGATTAGCAGTGAAATCAAGAACGGGCGTTTTTCTCTATTTGGCTACCTAGACCCTGCAGTTTAGTGGATAACGCGTTGATATCGGGAGTGAAAGGTTCCTCATTCAAGTCGCAATGTAAACATCAATACTAAGGTGCAGACGCATCCAGCTGAAGAATACCGAACAGGACAGAACGCGTACCCTAGATTCCATCGCTAACCAAAACCCATTTATTTTACATAAATACTGTTGGAGGATATATATATATATATTAAAATTCTATTTTAAGTACTTAAATATAATATTCATGCTTTCGTATACTTTTATAAAACTTTGAGCCGATGTTAATGAGTAACCAATTAGTCAAAAGCATTATGGAAACAAAATTAGAACAAGAATGTAAGTTCTGCTACAAGTAAAACATATAAGTATTTACTGTGTGATCTTTGGTGGATTCGTAAAAACCCTATATCCCAACTGAAATTCAGTTGGACAAAAAAGCGTGAATCACAAGCCATGCACATGAACCTGAACGTACATTCTGATAACCATCGGAAGGGGGAAAATAACCAAAATAAATCAGCAAGTAATAACTTGGAGATATCAAGTGGTTCCAACATAATTAGAATTAAGCTCATTGTTTTAGAAATCTTAGAGTAAAACAGAAAACATAATACAAAAAGCAAAGAAAAAGATTCTCACTATTTCATCAATATCATTAAATCCTATGGATGTTATCGTCCTTTCCTCTGATGCCGGACGTCTCAACATTTGCTGATTGGCTACAGAGCGCGTTCTCTGAGGCAACTCAATTTGTTCACCATGATATTTAACTAAATGACGAAGAAGTCCAATTTCAGCCTGGTATCGACGACCGCACCTTGGATGAGGACACTGTTGTTGGAAAAAACACGATTAAACGGCAATTATACTTCAAAGCAGGAATAAATATGGTATTCTAACAAATATGAAAAATTCTTACCAATTTTACGATATTCAGTTCAATCTCAAAGTATTATATAACAGACATTAGTAAGGATATTACAATATGAGCGCACATAATTTGAAGATCGTGCACACTAACTGATTAGACACATTAGACGGATCATTGTTTCCTCAGTTCGGGAAACGTCCGGTTCTTAAGTGGTAATCCACCTTTGAAAGTTAAAATGAACTTAAAACTAATAATACACTCAACTTCGAGTTGAAAATGAGTACTATTAGTTGGTGAAAGTCCGTAAAATAGACAAAAGGTAGGACCTATTAAAAAGCATGTGCTCCATTCTACTTATGAAGTTGTAAACGGATTAAGTTGAAAGTGGTAGGAAAACGGTATGAACAATTACGAATAAATCTGTAAACAATGAGTATAACTTTTGAATAAAATGGTATCTAAGACATGAGAAAAAAATGCGTATACTCCAGGCTGACTAGACTGAAATATATCAATTCGGAATCCTAACGATTGATTCCGACAAGAATTCATCAGAAAACTTTTACTTTTCAGAAAGCTAAAGACAATAATTAGGAACTTTATTAATTGGTGTTATAGTGTATTGAGGTATCTTCTAGTTAAAAAATGTTAGACACTTGAAATATTCTAGGTTCACCTACTAATGCGTTCAGAAGAATCTGATTAAATCTTTTCAAGGAGTGGACTAATATCTAGAAAATAGAAACTAGGTAGTTAATTCTGAGCATACATGGGAAGAAGTTCGACATAAATGATAATAAATATTTCCGCTTTAAAATCGACCACTGTAGCATTATTTCAGATGTTGAATTAAAGGCAATCGTTAAAATCAGTGTTAAGGACAATTATTCCTGACTTTTGGATAAAGAAAAACAACTGACCACTTACAATATGTTTGAAACGGTCATCCGAGGTAGTACCTGTTGAACAACCAAGACGATTTGTCGACGTGATTTCCATACCCGCCGTGGGCTGAGGACTTTTCAGTGGTTGATAAGAAACCTACATGGAAGAAAACAGTCCACACAAACTTGACAAAAAACATATACTACACTTTTGCAATTGGGTATTAATGGAAATTGCCATATAGTTAAGGCGAAATATGTTTAAATATAAATGATTGGTAGGTAATCGTTAAGTAAATCTTTGCGTAACGAATAAACAACTGAAGTCACAGATGTCTGTGGATAAAGTTGGGAAAAATTGTAAAGACGAACGACACCATTCAACAGCTTGGAGTAAAGCAAATATAAAGGGTTCCGAACTAGTCGTTTACAGTTGATACCTACAGGGACTTACTGGCAGTTATTTGATGTTTTTAATGCTAACTAGACCAGTATTTATCCATGAGGGTAACTAGGAAGAGTAGGACCGACGCTGTTATCACATAGTAAGGTTTATTATCCAAGCAACAAGTGAGATCCAACAAACTTTGGGAACAACTGAATAACACGCTATAAGCACCTACAGATAAATACACAGATTTGCTCTAGCATTCAATGCGCAGGGTGAGATTATATGCTGATCTACTGGCTTGCAGTATCACCTGAGTACAACATTAGTATGATTATTCGGAAACAGACAGCATTTAAGTATGTTGTTTTAGGCTGGTTAGTTATTAATCTTAACACATGTACCATCTGCTTGACTTGTTTTTAATAATTAAAAAAGGCATGGCCGAGTATCAAAAACAGGAATTTACCAAGAACTAGTACTCACATGTTGATTGCCTGTATTTCCTTGACTTTTAGCATTATAAACAGAAAACACAACCGTATTCGCAGTAGATTTGGACAAAATTTTGGCCTGATTTGCTTTTCTTACTGACAGATATGCTTGTCGATACCTGCTTGCCTCATGAATATTTGAAGCGTTAAAAGAATTTTGGTATCTTGCATGAGTGGCCAAGTCGAGACTTCCAATTGGAGAGCGATCACGAAGAACATTAGACATGGAGGCTTTGGTGGATATGTTGCAGAGGTTCGTACCAGAGCACGCTTTAGAGCGCAGTGTTGCATTGGGGAATTATGTTTATGAGCCGCTGTTCCGCTGGACTCTGACCCAAGTGCTAATGCACCTAATTCAGCCACACTTCGGCATGATGGAAAAAGGGGAGTATATCCGCCATTGATTGTAGCGAAACAGTTTTTGGATTATTCTTCTTATGGGGAATTTCATTTCCGTGTTTCTTAACATCAATGGTCTGATGCCTAGAGGAAGATATATGACAAGAATTTTGTACAGGTGGGCTGTCAAGAGTGCCTAGATCATCGAATGAATTTCTAGCCTCAGAAGAAACATACTATCCAAAACCAAGGTGTGGCATACATTTGATGACACAGGTAGTCGGTCAACTTGAGGACTATTGATACACACAGATGAATCATTAGCCACACTGTGTCCTATGCCTTCAGTCTCATTGATAAGGCTGACTTCGATAGACTGCAACGAACAATTTTTTCCACTGAAAGGATGTGGCTTACTGATAGCTTCACTTTTAATGTATCTGACTGAATCGTGACATAGATTGTCAGGTATATCACAGAAATTAATATGGGTAGTACTGTTGCTTGATAAACCATTAGTGGGTTTGGATGGAGACGAGTTTTCAGAAGTCAGATTGCTGAGTATTTCATCAACTTCTCGAACACTAATTGTTGGTAACTCGATGTTAGGATCTAGAAGGCTATTAAACAGAGAGACAGGGTGGATATTCCTTTCATCTTCCTTCTGAGCACACTTCGCTGGAACGTTCGCAGAGTATCCGTCTGAGGAATGGACGTCGGGAAAGCCACCTGATACACTCGAAAAAAGGATTCCCCCGGAGACCGACAAAATTTGGAAACATTTTTATGTGACATTCTACCAGTAGTGAAGAATCTTGCATTCCCTACAGGATTCCGACGTAGTGAACTCATATGGAGACAAGCGCTAGTGAATTACTACGATATTACTTTGATCACTCAATCCCCAAAAAAATATTTGGCACCTCTTGACTGTGCCTAAACATTTGTTAAGCTTATTGAAGGAAATCGATTCAAGTAATTAGTTCAACAAGTCAGCACATGTATGTCCAATGACATAACAAATTCTAGTGGCATCCTTTAACGGTAGACAAGCCACATGAATTAGAGATAATAGGAACAGTCCGGAATCACAACATAGGCCTATGGTCCAAAAGGTTTGATTGTCCGGTGACGATAACCTTCAGCTGTTGGTTTTACAAATACAAGACAAAGTGTCCAATATTCACGATCCATAGTACTCTAAATAATCATGGATAGACCAATACCCCATTTTACTGAGATGTCATGACTCCAAGCAATCTAAGCGGAAACATAGCCGTACGAAGACAGAGTGAAAGTGGAGAAACGAAACACTACATTAAAACCTTAGGTAGACATCACGTACCCACCTGAAGGATTGTGATAAATCTGCTCTGACTATCCCACATGCTAGAGAATTCCGAGATTAGTATACTGAAGTTGAATAGATACTATTTTCTGAACATTTTATGTAGTCGTATTGCGTGCTAAAACGAATAATGTTTCCTCTCTATCTTGCGTAAAATGGTAATAGACACAATTTGCACTTAGACTGGGATTCCTCCATAATTCGCAATTATTCGAACTCGAGTGCAGTCTTTTAAAAATAGGGCTGATACAGCACACTCTATTTAACAGTTTGCGAACCTCGAATTTCCATAATACATTTCGCCTGGTTGGTTTCCAACAAGGAATCTGTCTTGAACTTCCTCCCAAAGTGGATCCCTGACGGCTGAACGATGCTAACGTATGATAGAAAATGGGTTTAATGTGACTGGGATTACTGTGGTATTTGCACTAACTGAGGATTCCGTTACAATGATTACGAACTTAAAATATGATGCACACATTTGTGTTGACCTGGGTTTACCTACTTTAAATAGCTCAATTTCGGAAACTCGTATTTAGCCCATTATTTCGAATACATCTAATTGTTATACTGGACTCGCCGTGCAGTCACATCTTGTACGGTTGGATATTAGTCCAAGTGCGGATGACTTGAATGACTACATGGAGTGGTTCGAAATCTGGTACATGACTAGAAAAGATATTAAATATGGTGAATTCATAACTTATTTCCTGAAGTTCATCAGAAAAGAAGCTTTTAACCTGATAGACAATCTGGCTTTCCCAGAGGAATAAATTTCATTGTCATTTGAATCTCTCAAGCAATTACTACTTATCATATGCAGTGTTTTAGTTTTGAATGCAGAGAGAGATCTAAGTTTCATAAAAGGGTGCGACAAAATGAAGAGGGAGTTAAAGAATTTATATTTGAACTACAGAAACAGGCTGGAAAGTGCCATTTCGGTAACCGGTTGGAAACTCAACGTCGCGACCGATTAGTTACCGGTATAAATATTTCGAATTTGGGAAGAAAATTAATTCAGAAACCTCGAAGTTCATTTCAAGAAGTTAAAACAGCATGAATTAACTATGGATAGTAAATGAGTATGATGCTCAGCCAGTGAAAACTTCTGATACTTTGGTTGATGAACTAAATTCTCAGAGTTGCTCAAGCTCTCGTTTGTTTAATAATGCTTCCCATTCTCATGAAAATGTGAGTGATTCAGCGAAGAATTGCAAAGCAGTCTACAAAGATTACAGGCTTTGTAAAATGTCTATACAATGGTCAATTTCAACTACGAATAGTTCCTTCCGATCTCCAAGGAGAAGCACTTAAGGCACTGAACTATTTGTGAGAGAAACGTATAACTGAACTGATCCAGTCTTCAATGCGGTGTACTCTCACTGTTACGCCCCTCAAGTCTGGTAGCGAGATCCATAGAATATGTGGTGATCATAACTTGAAACTGAAATCACGTTTGTTGAAGGAAACGTGAACGACTGTGGAAGCTGAAGATATTCCTGGCCAACTTGATTGTTCTAAGGTTTTCTTGAAAGTTGACTTACAAAGCGGTTATCTTTAAATCCCCTCGGATCAATCTTTGTCTGTTTCGACAAGATCTAAGACTCCTTTTGGTCTATTCAAATATAACTTTCATACGGTTTGAGTTGTTCTCCAACCATACTTCGTGAAGTGATGAATTATTTATTCAGTGATCTTAACGGTGTTGAAATTTATTAAGATGATCTTGTTATTCGTGGTTCTCATGAAGTAGCTCGTGATCGGGTACTTATTTCTTTATTGAGTCTTCCAATTGAGGAGTACTTAGCCGTGAATCCAAATAAGTGATCATGTCGTGTATCTAGTTTTAAATGTCATGAATACCTAGTTGACAGTAACGGTTTTAAACCAGATATGAATCAACTAGTCCCACTGAAAAGTTCACACTCGCAGAAAAATTCTACGGATCTACGCTCACCAGTGGAAGACCTTCGATACCATTCCTTTCCTAATTTTTCTTGTCATGCCAATTATGTATCTAATCACCTTACATCCAATTAGTCTGAATGGGGCGAGGAACAAGAGTCATACTCATGACGTTTACCAGAGTTTCTTCAAAGTGATTCTGTTCTTCGAACTTACTCTTCTACAGTGCAGTAGATCTTCGAAGCAGGAAGGTTAACCAGTATTTTATGTTTCATGCAAACTTATTGTTGCAGAACGAGGTTACTCACAAACTCGACGAAAAGCATTAGCTGTGTTTTGGTCTGTTAAACGACTTCATAAATGTTTGTTCGGAAAGAAATTCATTATTGTTACAGATCACCAAGTTTATTTGTTATCCTGAAGAATCCTTAGCACGTTCCTCAGCTGCTGTAGTTCAACGACGAGTATTGCTCTGGGTGCTTCATACTGCTCGACTCAGCACAGAAGAGCCGAACAACCTCAACATGTTGACTACATATTTCGACAATCACTACAAGATAGACCTGTTAACACTGTGAACTGTTTGTCAGTGCAAACTTTGGCGATGAGACGTTCAGATATCATTAGAGAAACCCGTAGATACTTTGGATGTATACTCAGCGATACACGGATATGTTGGAATGTTAATCTGAAACGTAAATATCCTTTATATCTTTCAAATCGGGATAAATGATCCACTACTCCTGCTGGTATTTTGTGTTTAAATGGTTGTGTTGTTATTTCCTTCTTCATTACGTAAATATATCTGTAACGGAAAGAAACACTAAAAATCCCTCCACAGAATTTCGTGTGATAGTACTGTTATTTGTTCCTTCTCCCTGTCGTGTATTTTAACTTTTATTCAAATCTCTTCTGACCACACTTTATGTCCTTCAGTCTTTCTCGTCTGAGCTTTTATTAGGTGATTTCGATTGAAGACTTACCTTTTTGTTACCTAATTTTTTTATTGCATGCTGCTGGACTTTGACAGTAAGGTCGTGTTTGACTAAGCTCAAGGTCATGGCGTGGTTCCATGTGTGACTGTTAACCTTTTGACTGTCTGCTTGGAAGGATTCCTGGAATCCCTGCAAATAAATATTTAGTCCCGTCTTGTTGGGAATATTTTTGTTGATTCTCAGGTATCGAACCCGTTGGTATTAATTGTTTCTTTTATTGTTTAGCACACTACTTCGCGTTAGAGAAACTTCCGATTGTATAGCACAGGTTGTACCGTTTGAGGTATTTTGTATTTTTGATATAATTTGTTCTATTTCATAAATTAGAACGGTTTAAATTGAGCACGGAGTTTGTGTTTTAATGTAAATTAACAGGAGTATCTCAAAAACGCTTCGTACGCTATAGAGAAGAATGTAGTTCGGCCTATTCGAATAAATTTTGGTTCGTCAGTTCTGCGTTCAAACGGAATACTGGCAGTTCGGTCGTCACAGTATCCTTGGAGATCTTCATAGTGGACATGTTCTAAGAAAATGAAGACCTTGGTAAAGCCCAATTGTTGGTGCCCGAGATAAATGCACCAAACAATTGTGAGGAATGTTATAAGTCAAAAAATCATTTTTTGGAGTGAATTTCATGGC